CTGCCTGCCCCAAGATCATAGAGAATGCCACTATTTGGAACTGTGGCTTTGTTGGAGCAGGCATGACTTTTTTGGAGGAAGTGTGTCGGTGGGCTTTGTTGCTCCCTATGTTCAAGAAACCACCCAGTGTCACAGTCCTTCCTGTTGCTTTCTGAACAAGATAGATGTAGCCAGCGCTATATCTGCCTGCATGCCACAATGCTCCTCACCATGATAATAATCGACTGAACCTCTGAAACTGTGAGTCACCCCATTTAAATGTTTTCCCTTATAAAACTTGCCCTAGTCATGGTGTCTCTTCACAGCAATAGAAGCTCTAACCAAGACACCCAGGTTACCACCACTCCTTAGGTGAACGTTGCAAAAGTTTCTGACCAGATATGCAGTTTCTACTCCCATTTTCTGTAAGCCTTATTTTTCTCCTGGAAAACAATCAGTATTTCTAAAATAACTAGTTATTTCCAAGTTTACAAATCCCTAAGGGCTTATCTCTCTCTGGTCTCCACATTGGCACCTGATCATTAAACTCCAAACCCCTCTCTGATTAGTAAGTACAAACCACACTTACTTTCTTCTTATTTCCAGAGGAGGGAAACATTTTTCCTTACTTTCTCTCTCTACCTCAGGACTTTTGAATGTGGTGACAGCTCAGTCTGAACTATTCTTCTTCCTTATCCTCTCAAGATAGACTTCTTATCATTACAACTACAGCCCCATGTTCCTCTTCAGAGAGGATTTCCATGGCAACTCTTTCTACAGTTGATAGCCACCCCACAGAACTTTCAGTTTTCATATTGTTTTATGTTTACTCTAAAAAAAAATAACACAAACTAAAATTTGCTCTTTGCCCTGCTGGCCTCTTGTCATAATGTCCAGGAGAATATTAGATGCATTAAGTAAGGGCCTGTTGTTCTGTTTACTGGAACATAGAAACAAGATGGTCACACAGAAATTGCTAAATAAATTCAAGTTAAATGTACCATTAGACAAAAGGTCTGAAAACTAAACTATTCATTAAAAATTTCCAGTGTGGTCTCTATTGTAAGAATGTTCAGACCATCTCTCAACAGCTAATTTTGGACTGATAACCTGAAAACCTCAAGTTCAAACCCACCTGGGAAGGAGTTCACTAGTAACATAGAGAGACAGAGCACACTGGTGTACAGCTCAGTGGCAGAGCACTTGCCTAACATGTGCCAGGACTTGAGTTTAGTCCCTGGCATTGCAAGAAAATAGATGGACAGAGCAATACATTTGGGAAATAAAAGAGCTGCTTTTTTCTTTTCTTATATGACTTAATGTAAGCGCTTGTGTAGGATGGTGCGAAAAAACAGGGTGAAGGTTTAAAATAAAAGGCTCCTGAGTCAGAAGACCAAGTGCTATGCTTGAATCCCATTCATGTGGCTTTTGCATTCGTTATTTAACACTGAGCCCCAGTTTCTTCAACTATGAAAGAGGATATTCCTTATGTGCAATCTAGCATATAGTAAGTGACCAACAAATGTTTATTATTAGTATCTTGACTGATAATTTCTTCATCTGTGTGATGCATTCTTGTCCTTCCTTTTCAAATGTATGTAAAGAAGCGAGGGTTTTTTTTGTTTTTGTTTTTGTTTTTGGTGTTTTGTGCTTTTTTTTTGTTTGTTTGGTTTTTCGAGATAGGGTTTCTCTGTGGCTTTGGAGGCTGTCCTGGAACTCACTTTGTAGACCAGGCTGGCCTCGAACTCACAGAGATCCCCCGCCTCTGCCTCCCAAGTGCTGGGATTAAAGGCGTGCACCACCAACGCCTGGCTGTTTGTTTTGTTTTAAGAATAGAAACCTAAACATGTCAACTATGAATCTTCATTAGTCCTTCCTACAGGGTTAAATTATTCCTTTGTTTTCATTCTTTCAATGAATATTTAATGAGCCATTTTTATTTGTTACATTCTATACTAGACAGCAATAAGCAAGAGAGTTTACATGACACACCCTGTCAAGTGTAGCAAGATAAGGAGTTCATGTGTGTGTGTTTGTGTGTGTGTGGGGGGTAGAGTAATAGATTTCATTGGTGTTTACTGAGAAGTTGCCTGATGCAGCAAGGGTGGGGCACCAGACTTGTAGAGATGGCTTCCTGCAAAAAAATGAGGTATTTCTAAAGAAACAGAAAGACAGTACACATAATCTACTAAGTATTTTGGACTATTAGGACTTTAGAAATAAGAATACATGTGTGTGTGTGTGTGTGTGTGTGTGTGTGTGTGTGTGTGTGTGTCTGTGTGTGTGTCCCATGGTAGAAAGAGTCATGTTACCCATACACCTTGGCTAACAAAATGTCTTTTAAAGATACATGGTGCCCTGTCTTGGGCCTGACTTCTGCTTGTCCTTTTTGGGATTTCCTGCTGACTCACTCCTGGCAGACTAAGCAATCCAGGGTCTGCTGACATTGCTGTGCTAGTTCTGCCCCCACTCAGGGGAGAGACGAGCATGGGCCCCTGTCTCAGGCCAGACTTCTGCTTGCCCGTTTTGGGATCTCATGACCTGAGGAAAGTGGGAAAGTTGACTCACCCTAGGCGGATCAAGTCATCCAGAGTCTCCTGGCATCACGGTACCAGTCCCACCTCCACCCACCAGGAGGATTGTCTCAGACCAAACTGCACCAATCCTGAGCCCCATCAGAATATTGGACCGGCTGGCATGCACCAGAAGAGAATCTTGGACCTGTATCCACCAGAAGAGGAAGAGACCCCACATGCACCCACTGGGAGAAGGGATGGGAAGACAACAATATAAGAACACATTCAACAACAGAAAAACTAATATGACACCATGAGAGTCTAGGGACACTACAACAGCAATACCTGAACATCCCAACTCTGATGATGCAGAAGAGAAGGACCTTAAAAACAACTTCATGAGGATGATAAAGACCCTAAAAAAGGAAATGAGAAAATCCTTTAAAGAAATGGAAGATAAAACAAAAAATTCAAGAAATGGAGGAAAAGGCAATCCAAAAATTTCAACAAAGAATTCAAACAGTGCAAGGTTTGAAAGCTGAAATAGAGACAATGACAGTAAAGAAAACACAGTCTGAGGGAATTCTGGAAATAGAAAAGTTGGGTAAACAATCAGTAACTACAGATGCAAGCATAACCAACAGTTTACAAGACTTGGAAGAGAGAATCTCAGGCATTGAAGACACACTGGGAGAAATAGATTCATCAACCAAAGAAAATTTCAAGTCCAACAAATTCCTAACACAAAATATCCAGAAAATATGGCATACCATGAAAAGGCCCAACCTAAGAATAGTAGATATAGAAAAAGGTGAAGAAACCCATCTCAAAGGTGCAGAAAACATATTCAACAAAATCATAGAATAAAAGTTTACCAACCTAAAGAAAGACAATCCAATGAAAATACAAGAAGCTTATTGAACACCAAATAGAGTGGACCACAGGAAAAAAAAAACAGCCCCTTTGCCACATAATAATCAAAATACCAAACATATCGAATAAAGAAAGAGTATTAAGAGCAGCAAAGGAAACAGTTCAAGTATCAAATAAGAATTACATGTGGTTTCTTCATGGAAACACTGAGAGACAGAAGGCTCTAGATCGATATTCTACAAACACTAAGAGACCATGAATTCCAGCCCAGACTACTATACCCAGCAAAGCTTTCAATCACTATATGGAGAAAACAAGATATTCCATGACAAAATCAGATTTAAACAATACATATTCACTAATCCAGCTCTACAGAAAGTAATGGTAGGAAAACTCCAACCTAAGGAAATTAACTGTACTCACAAAATCATAGGTAAATCCCAATTTACCAAAAGCCAAAAGAAAAAGCAGGGAAAATCCACACACAATACCACCACCACCAACAAATCCAAAACAAACAAGAATTAACAGTGGTGCTTAATTTCCCTCAATATTGGTCTTAACTTGCCTATAAAAAGTCACAGGCTAACAAAATGGATACAAAGATAAAATTATCCTTTTGTTGCACACAAGAAACACACCTCAACTTCAAAGACAGATGTGACCTAGGAGTAAGGGTTGGGATAAGATTTTTCAATCAAGGGGGAGCTCATGGACCTGAGACTGATAGCTGGGTAACCAGCATAGGACTGACCCAGAACCCATGAATGTGGGTGTCAGTTAGGAGGCCTGGGCAATCTATGGGGCCTCTGGTAGTGGATCAGTATTTATCCCTAGTATACTAATGAACTTTGGGAGCCCATTCCACATAGAGGGGTACTTTCTCAGCCTAATCAGACGTGGGAGGTCCTAGGTCCTGCTCCAAATGATATGACAGACTTTGAAGATTCCCCCATGGAAGGCCTCACCCTCCTTGGGGAACATAATGGGGATGGGATAGTGGGTTGGTGGTGTCAGTGGAGGCTAGGAGGGAGAGGGAACTGGGATCGACATGTAAAACAAACTTGTTTCTAATTTAAATAAAAAAAGAAAAAATTAAGATACAAGGTGATATAGCTTATGTTATCCAGACATTTAGATATGATTCCTACATTTTTTAAAAATATTCTCATAATGGGTAGAGAATTAATATTTTTCTTCCAAATTAGCTATCCATATTTCTGAATTTCTCTGTGGTAGGAACTATGCTTTCACTATTATGTATATGTTTTTTGGACAAATTAAAACCACAATTTGGACTCTGAATACTAAATTACAAAGAATTGATTAATGAGCTATTTGTTCAACCTTTCACTTCATTTTGCCTGTGTGTACAATTTAAGATCCTTTTGTTATTTATATTCACCTAAATTCGCATCTTGTCCCTGTTGAGATTAGCCATCAGATTTCTAATTAGTTTTCCAAAGTAGATTTGTGGGTTTATTTCTCACAAAAGTGGAAAAAAAACAATGGATACCTAATATAGAAAGTATTAAACTTTTCTTTAAAGCCTTATGTGCCTATCATATATCATTGCATGCCCCACCAGTGAGCTCCATAAATAGAACTGACAACATTGTGTAGATAACTCACCATCATTTCTCAGGATTAGTGGTGTGGGTGGTCCCAGGACCTTGTGGTTCGTCACAGTATTGGTAACTACACAGGTGTAATTCCCAACATCGGATTTTTCTACTTTTGCAATATAAAGATTCCCAGTCTCTTGAGAAACAAAGCGGCGGTTATCCTGATAGGAAGGGTATTCATTGAAGATCCAGGCATAGCTCAGCTCTGCAAGTACAAGAATCACAATGTAAATAAGTATGTTGGCCCTAGAAGTTTGCTGCATTTAGAATAGAAGTGGTCAGGGTAGAAACTGAGATGGTGGCTCTTCACCCTGTAAATGTAAATGGGAGGTAATCACAAAAGGCTTCCTACTGTCAGTCAAAGATAATGTCCTATTTCAAGAGGACTAGAAGATACCCTGAAACTTGACTAAGAGAGAACCAGCCTTTAGAAGTCAAAGTATGTGTCCAGTACTTTGCAGCAAGTTCTAAAGGAATCCAATGTTAAAGACCCAACATATAACCTTGACATAGTCATGTGAGATGCTACCATTGACAATGTTTAGATAACTTTTCTCATACAATAATGATCACTATAGTGCATTTGATCACAGGTTTGCAAAGTACTCCGTGGTATTTGATGCCTTCATTTCTTTTCATCAACTCAGGAGCTTTGAAAAGGAAAAACAAAGTAATGAATCCAAATTCTTAATCATTAAACAGAGTAAGCATTGATATTCAATCCATTACTTTCCCAATTTCTCCCACTCTTACATAGAATGTAAGAGTTCTCTTCTTTTCTTACATAGAATGTTGATTACTTCTCCAAAATTTTAATAAGAAATATTTAAATGTTGCTGTTATTACTCATCAAAGACACACTGGTATCTTAATTATTTTACACATAAAAATGTGTCCTTAAAATATAGTGGAAAAAGTCATATCAATAAGAAGTGAATATGGAGTGCTTGCAAATACTTGCTCATCCCAGAATGCAGTGGGGCAAATGAATAGAGCATTCTAATCTGGAAACATTCCTTTGACAGTTCTTTGTTTTAATAAGGATTATATGAACATTTTGTGACTTTACACATGAGCTCCTGCTTTCAATTTAAAGAACCCCAGATGACAAAGAATTTATCTAACTGGCTGCAGTGAGTAATCATGTTCTAAGAACATCAAATTTCTTCAACTCCAGTCACTTCTTCCTTCCTTTATATGAAATGTCAACCATTGATGTATCTAAAGCTGAAGCATAGAATACTGGCTACTGGCCCTGATTAGTTAAGATTGCTTTTCTCTTTAAAAATCACTTGTTGGGGAAGGAGAAAATAAGGGAGATACACAGGGAGCTGCTGGTTATAGAAACAGTTGGCTGAGTTACTCTATGGCATTCTTTCATATGATCCTGGTTAAAATCTAAATGCATGAGGGGTCCTTGGCAAATGGCAGAAAGGCCACTTGAGCTTTGTAAAGAGAACACTAATTATTGTAGAAGGCATTTTTTGGTTGTTTAATCCTTCACTGAATCCCAAGTGTAATTGACCTTAACCACTGAATGTGTAACAAGAAACATGTTTTGCCTTAATAATCCATTGTTGACATACAAAGGAGGGTTTGTGCAGATTGCTCTCCCTTTATCCCAGAATTACAACATTTCCACATGCATTGTTTTGGAGAGATATAATTATGTTTCTATGAGAAAAGCTAATTGCTCTACACATGTACACGTAATTAGAGGTAACTCCACGCTAATGTCAAGAGGATATTTGGCATTATAAACAAATTCTTCCCAAGGTCATGGACTAATTTCTTCTGATATGAAACATTCTATCCTGGGGAAAAGCTTGTTAAGAATCAGAAAGTACATGAATCTTACAAGGCTCGGGAAGTAAACAAAGCCTCAGGAAGTTCCTGAAACTCAATACATCTATCTATAAGACCCTTCCTCAGAGTCATATAAGTAGGAAGATTTCTGGGAAAGAGTGACTGTAACATCAAGTAATACAAGGAGCTCTGAAGATAAAGCTTTTCTTAATTGTCACTCATGTAAGATAGGCTTTTTACTGACACATCTGCCTTCAAGACATCCATGCTCATGTTAAGTTAACCCTCATTCATACTTCTGTAACTCACCCCAAACAATTCAATGTTTTAGTGATCTAGACTTGGGAGGGAACATAGTTTCTTTGGTCTATCATTAGCACCATGTCTGGGGTAAGTAGATATTTGTTTACATTTACAAGAAAAATTACATAAGGATGGAGAGATGGTTCAGCATTTAAGAGCATCAGTTTTTTTTTTACAGAGGACTTAGGTTTAATTTTCAGCACCAACAGGACAGCTAACATGCATCTAAAATTCCACCTCCATGGGTTCAGAAGCCCTTTTCTGGCATCCTTAGGTACCAAGAAGGCACATGTTGCACAGACATACACTTAGGCTAAATACTCAATAAACATTAAAAAAATCTAAAATTAAAAAAAAAAACCCAGACAAAAGCCAGTAAGTTGGCTGTTTCCAAAACAACAACGACAAAAAAAGGTGCTCAAACTTTAAGATAGGAAAAGACCAGATAATAAATCATGAGGAAAGATAAACTGGCAAGAACACCTTCCAGTTAGAAAAGACTTACAAAGGTCACAAGGCAGACTCCATAATTACACGTCCAAAAAACCCAACCATCTCTCAGCATCCCCGTTTTCTACTATGGACAATGAGAAGACCAAGTATCTGCTAATAAGTTATAAGAAAAAATTTAAATGTAAGCTAACATGTTCAAAGTCAAAAGTAGACATTACAAAATAATTTACCAAGACAAAATTAAACCAATTCACACTTCTCCAAGGAGAGTTGGAATCAAATACACAAAACTAATTTTTTCCCTTGAGATATTTTTTTTAAAAACTCTTGTAGTGGCTAGTGGCTGTGAAGTCCTCCAGATTCTGAGGGAGGACTTTAGCAAACAGAAAGCAGCTATTAGAAGAAAGACATCTGGTATGGAATTTTATAATTAGAGATAAAGTACCTAAGTTGAAATCTGTGTTACATAAGGGAAACCACATAAAGTCTCTCATTTTCTACTACTTCACCAATAAGTGGTGGGAATTTAAATTGGGATGTAGGTATATGTACTAATAGTCCGTTTATGCAAAAATCATTGAAATGTCTGGGGAATTGCAGAGATTTGCTTGTTATCTGTCTGTCACAAGCATAATAATTATAAAAGTAAAGTTATCTGCTTCATTTAATTCATTCATTATAGTATAACAATAAATGGGTTTCATGAAGATGTTTTCAGACATATTTAACATTATACTCCTTCTTCATTATTGCACTCTTTGAGGGCCTTCATATCCTCCCATCTCTCTCTCTCTCTTTTTTGGTTTTTCGAGACAGGGTTTCTCTGTATTGTTTTGGAGGCTGTCCTGGAACTTGCTCTGTAGACCAGGCTGGCCTCGAACTCACAGAAACCCACCTGCCTCTGCATCTCGAGTGCTGGGATTAAAGGCGTGTGCCACCAACACCCGGCCCCATCTTTCTTTTAAAAATAGATTCAGTGGAGCTTAAGTTGTAGCTCGGTTGGTAAATAACTTGCCTAGCATGGAGGAGGGCCTACATTCAGTCTCCAGCATTACATACTACGGGTACAGTAACACAGATCTGTAATCTCAGCACTCATGAGATGGAAGCAGAATCAGAAGTTCAAGGATGACATCTACAATGGCACAAGTTCAAGGCCAGCCTGGGATACACGAGAACCTGTCTCTTTAAGTTCTCTCTCTGACTGCCTCTTCTCTCTCTGTTTCTCTGCCCCCCATATTTGAGTTTGCTGTGGGTATGTGATTTACAGAGACCAGAAGAGGAAATCAGGTTTTACACTCCTTCTCTGTTCTTTTTATTCCTTTTGAGGTAGGATCTGTCACTGATCCTGAAACTAGGCTGGAAGTTTCCAAGTCCTAATGATGCTCCAGTCTCTCCCCTCCCCTGCAGCATGGGAGTCACAGGAGTGCATAGCCATGCACAGCTTTGTACCAGCAGTAGAATCTGAACTCAGATCTTCATGTTTGTGCAGCAAGGGCTTTTACCTACACATCTGTCTCACCATTTCCCCTCATGTTGCCTTTGCCAGTCATCTTATTACCAAAATAATGCAAGTAACTGATACAGAAAACTTGTACCTGATGTGCTGTAATAAAACTGACCAAGAAGGGTTTTGTGGAAGAATATAGAGTTGGGAACTTTAAACTATAAAAATCATTAAATACCAGTTCTAACTTGTCATAGAATCTTTTTTAGTTTTTTACAGGAACAAATTTTAGTATATCACTTGACTCCATGCTTTCCATGAACTCTAATTGGGAAGTTGTAAATCATACCAATACTGAATAAAGGGCAAATAAAAGCTAAGGAGGAGGAGTTGATGATGATGATGAATAATGAGGGAGAAACAGAGAATGAAGTTGCTAAGTAAGTTGTAATAACCTTGTCAAATTATAACAACAATATGATGCCACAACTACTTTCCATGGTCCAAGAAGAGACCAAACCTTACTTGTCAAAAGGAAATTGACAGAAGAAAATGGAGGGACTAGAAATCATTATGTTAAGAAAAAGGATACAGAATTAGAAACACAAATATCATCTTTTCCTTGTGTTTGTGGAATCTAGACTTCATTCTCTCTGTATGTGTATGTGTGTGTGTGTGTGTACATGAATGCATGACCATGTGTTTGTGTGTCATGAAAGTAGGAAGAGAGAGTAGGTCATGGGGGAACAGGAAGGTTGAGTGGGGGGGGGTAGAATAGGGGGAAGAGGGAATCATAGGTTAGAAGACAGATCAGGCACCAGAGTGACCTCTAGTGATCTAAAGGGATGACACCAATTGGCAAGCTAAGCAATAATGGAGAGACCACCTCGAATGCCCATTCCTGATAATGAACTTGATGTCTATAACCATCCGGGAGCCTTCATCCAGTGACTGATGAAAGCAGAGGCAAACACCCACAATTAAGCACTGAACTGAACCCAAGGAACCCAGTGACAGAGAGAGAGGAGTGATGAGCAAATTGGCAAAGAATGGGCTGGCAAAACCAGCAGAGACAGCTGATCTGAACAGGGGAGAGCTCTTGGACCCCAGACCGACAGCTGGGAGGCAAGCATGGGACTGATCTGGCTTCCTCCCCGAATGTGAGTGTCAGTGAGAAGGCCTGGGCGACCTATGGG